CTTCCTTCCTTCCTAATTTTCTTTCTTTCTTTCTTTCTTTCTTTCTTTCTTTCTTTCTTTCTTTCTTTCTTTCTTTCTTTCTTTCTTTCTTTCTTTCTTTCTACAGTGGTACTAAAACTTAGACTAAATTAGTGGTGAATATACTACTAATATGGACTTTCCTTTGATTATAAAGCAGGTATGGGTCTTTTCCCATTTTAGAATAAACAAAGGACCAGTAGAATGAGAAAGAAAAGTGACCTTCCATTAGCTGCTGTGTAGGTAATAGATCCCAGTGAGACCACCTTGTGATGAATAGAAATTAAAATGTTGATTCCATGTCCACATAAGGCATTTTCACTGTTTTCACCACCAGACCCTCTTAACCAATCCACAATTGACCTCATAATTACTGTTCTCACAATGCCATGAAATACTGATGTGCTGACCAGTCCTTCCCCCAGTTGACCAGTAAGGGAGTATAATTGTCCATCAATCAGTATCCCATGCCTGTCATAATTTCACATGATATTTGTTTTTGTAGTGTGGAAAAGAAGATTATCATTCACTCGGAGGAAGAGCTGCAAAGTCACCCATATCCATTTTCAGTGAAAGTGGTGTCAAGTCCCCATGTCACCTCTATTCCAATGGGGAGAAGGGTAGGAGACAAGACAGATAAAAATTCCAGGCAACGGGAAACTGCTTGCCCCGTAGCTTCAACTTTAGCATTGCAAAACTATTTTGCAATATTTTCCACTGCACGAGGACCCCAAGGAATAACACCCCAAGGACTAACATCTGGTTCATCCCAAAGCAGCTAACTGAAACACCTTCAGTAATTACATTTAGTTTGTGGAACATTAATTTTAAATTCTGGTATGCCTCAGTTTTTTAAAATCACACTTGTCCATGTCAGGAGTCCAATGCACTTATGAATCAATAGTATAGGCTTGCTTAATTTTTTTTAACTGAAAACAAATAAAGTATTGAAGCTTAAGATTATCATTTTTTCCTTGGCCTATTGTACAGAAAAGGTTAGGTCTGAGAATGAATGTACCTTACTGTACAGTTATAAACAAGCCCTCTCTCAGTGGTTTCTGTTCTGTCTGCTTGCTGTACAGTTGTCTGCACCTCTCTAACATGAAGCCTACTTTATCCTCTGAGAAGCCAAAACAAAGTTGGTAATCTCTTTGGTATTTGTGATATGAAGCTTAGTTTTTATCCATGTCTGGTCCATATATGTGAGTCTTGAATGAATGTCCAGTATAGTTTCCCTTCAACTGAATGGGCTTGAGGGCCACTGAAAGGGATTTCATCCCTAGTGAGAAGGCTTACCTGAAGCACATGCTCTTGTTGACCTCCTTTAATCAGTACATGAGCTGATATCTTTATAAGAGATTTTCCAAAGTCCTTGCTCTGTACTCCATTTTCTACCATGGCAGTATAATTGTATAGCCATTGTTCTCCATCACGAAATTCTGGCCCTACAAATAGAAACATTTATGATTGTCTTCAATAAATCATTCATACTAGGGCTATAGGCTTTAACTGAGTCAATTCCATAATTATTAAACTAACGTTTTAATGGGACAATTGTAGAGAATATTTTCATTAAAGGCTTACTATTTATATATGTTAGTTTTAAGCCTCTTTATGGCTTGCTGTGACAGTCACAGGAGGAAACAAAAAGAATGTATTCCCTTTGAGTAGGTTGCTGTTACTTTTGTATATCAAATAATAATTTATTTGTATTTTTTAAAAAGAACTCAGAAATATAGATCAATATTATATAGCTTTGACCACTAAACAAGATTTAAACAAAGAACTTCTTTTTTACAGCTCAAGTGTCTTATCCAGCTCAGCCAATGCCCTTTCCTTTACCCAGTGGTTGACAACCCAAATGTCATTTTAATATGCTGACATAAATATAAATATATACTGGCAAACTTACTGATTTCAACATTCTCAGTTCCTGGAGGGAAAAAAATGGATAAAATTATTGAGTACAATAGTAGAGCAAAACAGTAGATTATACATTTTCATATTTAAAATATCCAAATGAGAATTGCAACATTATGTTTTACTATATGATCATCTTCTAACACAGTGCTATTATATGGAACTCAAGTGAAGCAGTAACCTTATTCTTTAGGATGCTCCATTCCATTCTTGTCCTTGTACCATTTTCTTTTCCAGTTAACTATCAATATTTCGTGGTTATTAAAATGTGTTCTTACTGGAGCATTTTAAGGAAAACTAGGTTTCCCCTAAACATACTGACATCTTCTTTTCCATTGCTATATTGCACTTTGTAGGCTTAAGAGCACTTTTGATGATCAAGAATCCTATAAAATAGGTCGATGAGGATATGGCATATGATGAGGATATGGTTGAGGCTGAAAGAGATCCACATGCTGGAGTCTAACAGCAAGACTGAAAGCCAGGATCTCCAGGTTTGCAGATCACAAATTTTTAAACAAATATAACAATGAAACTAATCTCCTACCCTTCATGTTACACATCTATGGCTAATATTACCAGGTCATTACCAGGTCAACAAGTATACTGATGGATTTTCTTGTTATTAGACTTACCAGTTTCAGGATTCTGGGTTTCTGAGGGAGAAAAATAGAATATTATGTGAATATAATAACTGTTCTGAACTATTTTATTGTAAAATATATGCAAGTGGGAATTGCAACATAGTTATACTGGTCTGTTCAAGATTCCAGTGACCTAGGGACCCCTTCTTCCAGAATATCTTTCTTCCCACTGGTTTTCAAGTTTTCTGTCTGAATGTCAAGTTGCCTGAATTTGTCCCATCTTTCCCTCTCCTGCACAGGTTGTGGGGTTTCTTCCCCTTGGGGGGAATGGGTCTCTCTGCAAATCATAGCATTTCTTTGATACCATCCTTATCTTTCTTAATGCCCCATTTAGTCTCTGTTTCTGTTGGATCTCACCCCCTGCCATTACTATTTAAGAGTAAACCATATTCTGGATGCTGTATTCATATTTGTACCAGCAAAACATTTTGAAACTAAAAACTGTTACATTCATTGCCTTATATAAAGACACAATCATTAGAGCTATATGTTATAGCCAAATTCATTACTAAATGAACTAAAGTACTTGAGAACCAGGGAGACCATTTTCAGTTTTCAGGGTTCTCATTTAAGAGTACAGCTAGGTATCTTTTAGTCTCCTTCTGTTTTGATGTGTCATTCTTTCCTTTAAACAGTGAGCTGTTACATACTAAATCATGTGTGTTATCATGCTTCTTTAGGAACCAAACAATTGCTTCTATAAAGCTTTGACTGAAATATGATGGCACTTAAATGAGTTAATTAATAATTTTGCTTTAATGTCATTTCAGCAAGAGATTAGGTTTGTTGTAATTTTTCAGCTTACTTGTTTGGGGCTTCTGGTTCCCTGTTAGAAAGAAAATGAACATGTTATAATGTTAGTTTTAATAGTACAGCTTATGGCTTATATGTAAAATATATCTACAAAAAACCTAAATTTATGCTGGTTAATAACAAAGTGTTATTTATCCCAGCAGAGCTTTCCAAAGCTAAAAGTTTCCACCAAGAATAATAAAAAGTTCAATTTACATCCACTGCCTTTAATAAATACATAATAATTAGACTGGCATGTTTTAATCGATTCATTTGCTAGATAATTAAATTGAAGTTTAAATTGATTAGGAGGACATTTTTAATTTGCAGGACTGCAAGCAAAGAGCATACTTCTGTATGTTTCAGCATCTTTAAATTCTGGTCTAAAAAGATATGGAGCAAAGCCACACCTATTTCCTTTAAAAAATTAGCTGTTTTTCTAATTTTTTATTTTACTTAATCAGCAGGTATTTTATACTTTCTTCAAAACTGCTAAAAGATACATATGAACCGACAATAGAAAGAAATGCAAGTCCTGTCATTATAAATGTATAGAAGTTATTATTATAAATTATGGACCTTTTAAAGCTTTCTTATTTTATATTAAGATGTTAATTGCAGTGTTTTATTCTTTTGTGTTATTTTAATTCTATATCTATACTGCACTTAGTATATAGTATATATAGATTGTATATAAGGCTACAACTACTACTTCAAATTGTTCAAACCATGTAACTTATCTTTTGACTTACTGGTTATTGGTTATATTTATATGCTATTCTTGTTGCTCACGGTGTTAGAGAAATATGTTGCAGAAGGATTATCCCTATATTGCTAATGGGACAGAATAATGGTCCTACTCATTGCAAGATTTAATAGTGGGCCCTAGCAGATTTGCAACTTGTCTACATAGAGCTAGACTGCACCAAACTCAACTAATCAGCACATCACCCCTTTTTCAGTCATGGACAAAATGTTGTTTCAATAAAAATGCTTGGTATGAAATAGAAATAATAGAAGATACACTGATGCCAAACTTACGGGCTGGGAATTTCTCAGCAGCTGAGGAAAGAAATTCAAGAGATTACAATGTGAATGTAGCAACCTTTTAATTTTAAAATATATTTTGGCTAAACTATACAAAATGTTGATACAATGCAGTCATAGTAAAAGGACAAACATACTTACCCACAAGGGCCATTAGAAGAATTAAGGCGATTCCCTTCATGGTGAAGGTGAATGGCAACTCTCACCTTCTTGGGTATTTTATAGGGAGATGGGAAGCATCACGTGATCTGTGTCAACCAGGATTTTGCTGATTGCACATTTTTAAATCAGTTTCAGCAAACTTTTTTTGGCGGTGGGGAGCAACTGAATTGTTCCTACTTTTAATCCCGGAGAGAAAAGAATCCCTTTTCCTTCTTTCTTTTCACAAACATGTCCATATTTTTTTAGTTCATCGTACATACATTGCTACACTGTTTTTGTAGGTCATGAAATATGTCATAAAAATGTTTTTTAAAAAGAGAGCTTATTTCCAATTTTTGCTTTTGGCTGATGGCCACCTGGGCACTACTTTAGGTGATGAAAACTTTGCCCTGGTTATTTCGACATAATATATGATGCAAATATTTACCTAACAGATCATGAGGAGGAAAAAACACTGGTATCTTGCATAATAAACACAACATTAGTCAGTACTGTATATGTAGGGTTTTTTTTCTTTCTTTTAAAGGACAGTGCAATCCTATATGTCTTTACTCCAAAGTAAGTCCCATATGTCCAGTGTCAGGATTACCACCAAATAGAGAAATCCTGTAAGGGGGAGGATAGTGAAACAATAGATCCTCTCAAGTTAGCAGAATTTTCATTTGCTGAATTTAACAAAAGCAGTGGGAGACATTTTGTCAGCTCTAATGTTGCTAAGGAACCTCTCCTAGAACAGAAGAGGCAGTGGGACCATGATGCCTGCACACAAGATCTGCCTGTCCCCAAAAGCTTAATTTTGGAAATCCCTGTGACAATTACCAGGAGAAACATCAGCAGCAGTAACATTCTTCAGCTGCAATTGCACTGCTAGGATAAACCAAATCTATGCCTATTAGTGCTGCACCTCACTGTTGATAATGAGCATCACCCTTCAATCTCTCCTGTATCTGCAGTGGATCTGTTCATGTGTGTGCAGTCAGTTTGTCCCTTAAAGAACTGCAGCCACACAGCACTTCGCTGCCACTTTCTGTACCTAAAACTTAAAAAAAAAAATCATTTATTTGTCTGTAACTGGAAGACAGCATTGTATTTGCCCAGTGTTTTATAAACAGATAAAATTACACTTTCAAGAGAGATCCAACCAATAGTGGTATGATAATGTTATCGTGATGGGGATTTCCCAGTTCTACAGTAATTCATTGCATCTAATCAATTAATTAATTGCATCTAACATGTAAGATCACAAAGCAGATTCTCACAATACTTTTTGTATTCTTTAATATTAATTCTTAGATGATCATATGTGAATAATTTCAAAATATTGGCAACTTTAGAAACTATTTCAGTTCCAAGTTATCAAATTAAAAACTCAGCCAAGCTTTTTTTTTTTAAAAATGAGTGAATAGAAGTATTTATTACTGGAAAAGGGAAATGTTAGGTTTTAAATAAGTAAGAGAGAGAGAGGTCACAACATACAGATGTTCTGGAAGAATGTTGCTGTTATTCTCCATTTGGTAACATTCAGCTGTAGAAAACCAGGATGAAGAGTTGTTATAGGGAGCCCTTTCTGTTCTTCAATACCATTTGTTACTGAGAAAGGCTGAAAGGAGGGGAGACATGGCTGAAGAAGTCAGTCAGATAACTAAGGGATCCAAAGGAAGGGAAAGATAGGGGCAATAGGTAAAAATCATGAAAGGTTTTGAAGTTATGGATCTGAGACAGGATTTAAAATAAATCAAACCTGAGATCCAGAAACCTTGATTATTTCCCCCCAAATTGTTATCTTTAATGTATGAGAAAGGGGGCAATAATAAATAAATAATATTTAATATATTTAATTTAATCACTTTTTGTTGTAATCTTGGCCCTGACCAAAATGTTGAGTTCTTTTCCTATGCATAAGAGAGATTCTTGTTGGCAGCAAATTAAATACTTGCAAGATACAGAATATACAGCCTTTTTGGCCCTATGGATACATTTATATAGATATTTATTTCCTGCCTGGAATGAGCAACCACCCAGAAGGAGAAAGTGCAAGGTGTTTGGAGGTACTGCTATGTGTTCTCATTTGTTGCTTGAAAATGAAGATAAGTATAGATCACAGCAACAAAAAGGATGGGTAGAATATTGGAATATTTGGAACTGTGGTAATGTAAACACTGCAAGATGCCCAACCATATCTAATGCTAACCCCATTCCTGTTCCCCAAAGGCAATAGAAGAAAAAACCAGATCTCAAGCAAATAGAAGAATGGGGGGGGGGGGACAGATCTTGGAGCTGGTCTGTCAAAAAGGCATTTTGCCTTTGAGAGATTTCCTATGAATAGGTAAGTCCAGGTAGATGTAGCCTGAGTTTAATGTAGTAGCTAAAGTGTTAGAAACTGAGAGCCTATGAGTTCTAGTTCTCTCTTACGCACAGACACAGGTTGGGTGACTCTTTCTCAGCCCAACTCTCTTCACAGGGTTGTTGCTGAGAAGGGAGCATTGTGTACACTGCCTTAAGCTGTACAAACTAAAGGGGGAATATACATCCAATAAATTAATCAATAAATTCAATCAACCAATAGTCCTGGGAGCACAGTTCTAATATTTATGGTGCAAATGTTTCCAAGCTTAAACTAAATTAAGTCCTGCCATTAAAGAACCTGAAATTGATGCCAGAGGAGGATGAGCTCTGCTTTTGTGTCTCTTGCTTCTCCATTTTAAATCATTCTCACACTCCAACACAAAGTTTAGAACTTTGGAAAATTGAAAAGATGAAACATTTGTATTTGTAAAAAAAATTGTTTTAGGTTTTCCTACCATAGCAACCATTCTGAAAAGCACTCAGAAGTAAATACTGACAAGAAATGTGAAGATCTGGAAAGGATAAATAAGTACTCATAGACTAAAAACTAGCATACATTAATTTACAATCTGTTTATCAAAATTATTTTTCCATTCTGGCAACATTGCTTACAAAGGTTACACAACCTTGTGATACAGGTCAAAATGACCAAATAATTTATTTGAGTGTAAAAATATCTGCAATGATCAGTAAATACTCCAGCTTCCAAGGTAAATACCTAGTTAAAATGGGAATAACTATGAACCAGAAATTACCAGAAGACTAGGTTCAGGCTGATCTGCAGATCAGTGAGGACTTTCTGTTCTCCTAAAAACAGGTCATCTTAGGAAAGCAAAAAGGTAAATGAGGAACTCATCTTTGTTCAGTCAGGCTGATCATTACTAAACAGAATTCTTTGCTTTTTATTCCATTTTATAATATGTCTAGACTAAATTCTATACCAGAGTTCTGTTTATAAGTGTCTCAGTTTTTAAGGAGTGTTTAGAACAGGTACAAGAAATCCTTCCCCCCCCCCCCCCCCCCCCC